CTTGTATGTGAGGAGCAGGATTTTTTTTACAGTTCATTGCAGTCGTCCAGCCTGGAAGTAATAAATGCATGAACTAGTTTTTCAGCGTCACTCTGAGACAGGATATTTCTAATGCTTCTCTTGCACATGAATGGAGGAAGTCACTTTATTTGGTACAATTATGTAGGCTTCAGTAAACATAACTTTAAAATACCATAGCAAGAATGTGAAGACATGTTCATGTTCATGGTGAAGTTAAGGTTCTCATGACTTATGGATAAATATTACTAATGCATTAGTATCATTACTAATATTTATCCACTCATGGGACACATGAGAATAATTACTACAGCTGAGGTGATGTTGGACACCTACCTTTGGAAAACTATATTTTGATTGCGTGCATCTGTTTGTGTCATGTTTGAATGTGAACCTTTAACTGAAGTCAGTGTTGTGTTTCTTTAAATTTCTGTGTCATACTGTCCTCTGACCCTGAGATGGATGAATGAACATAACACTGTCAGCCTCTGCAGTAATGTAGTAGTGGTATTAGTAGAACAACATCCACTGTGTGCACAGGCTGTAAACATTTTTATTTCTGCTCTAACGTTTTAATATGGGAGTCTGTGGGGACTGACTCTCTGCTGGAGCCTCTGCTGGATGCTTTCAGCTAACCACAGCCAGTCAATTTTACCACTATTGTTTTCTGTGTTTCAGAGTCTGAGTCACAGCTGGATGGTAAGAAAAAACTTCTTTGTGTAATAAATCTTTAGTTTCATATGAATATTAGTTTGTGAGTGAACTGTAGACTCCAGGATCACTGTGTCCTCACTCAGCAGTTTGTAGTGCTGAGAGTTTACAGCTCCTACAGTAATGCTCACTCTGTGTTTTAATGTCTGTCTTCAGTTTGTGGTCAGCCAAAGCTCAACACCAGGATTGTAGGAGGACAGGTGGCCCCTGTTGGCAGCTGGCCCTGGCAGGTCAGTCTGCAAACATCTGGGTCCCACTTCTGTGGAGGATCCCTCATTAACAGTCAGTGGGTGCTGACTGCTGCTCACTGCTTTCAAACGTGAGTGATGAGGCTGAAGCTGCACTCTAAACAAGATTTAGTGGAATAAAGACATTATGAAAACTCCCCATCAGGGGACCAGGGGTGTAACACGATAAATAGCTAACAGGGCAGAAAGTCAAAGATGTCATTTCATTTTAACAATCACAATAACTGTGCATCGTTT